TTATCTCAAATGAGCTTCCCTTGTAACAAAAGTGGCGAGAAACTGGCCGTTACTGTCGCTTTTCAGCAACATTAGTGTTTGTCTCCATGTGGAAATAAAGACGTATTCCGCTGAAGGATCAGTTCACAATTATCTTTACAACGCAAGACAAAGAAGGAAGAGAATATCTGTCTGATTTGCTCCGATCGTTGGCCTACAATCCGTGAGCCACAGTGCATTGCAATCCTTTCACACAATCACTTGTGACTCAAGTGCTGCGAGCCCACACAGGCTAACTGATCACAAATATGTGCCTAGAAAAAATAAAAAAGTGGTGCACAGGCAAGGAGGTGGAGAGCTTTGCACGTACAACATTTTTCTTGGATCAGGCTTTGAAAAATTTAAGGGGAGAAAAGCTGCAGTGATTTAGATCAACGATCTGAGTCGAATGAGAGGCCATTCATGGTGGAGAAATGCTTCCATCATACACAGTGACTAATGCAAATTATGTGACGTAAAGCCCCAAAAAAGAATAACCAAGTAGAATATTCAAATCAAGAAATAATGCAAATGTTTATCTGAGTAACATAATGAACAGAATCATTTATTCAAAGAAGAAAGGACATTTGTTTCTACTGTCCGCTAAGCAAATATGTAAACATCATTGCTTTGTCTCTCAATTGTGTCTCAGTCCTTATGGTAAAAGTAACATAACCACAAGAGAAACTTCTCAACTCAGGTGGCTGCGTCCAAAATAGTGTAGACTGTGTGGCTCCAAGGATAAAACCTCTTTCTTGACGCTTTTCCCCAATACACAGACCGACACAAACACACACACAGACACACACACACAGACACCTGAAGAGTCGGTGGTAGTGAGCTGGATGACAGCTCTGCTGCTGTGTTTCTGAACAGAGGACGAGCTGAGACGTCCAACTCCCGGATCTCCGCGGCGTCTTGCAGCCTTTATGCTGATGCTGTTTCCAGGAGGCACTTGTCCGTTCCTTTACTACTCGCCTGCGCTCCGGCTGCCAAAGCCCTTAATGTTTGGTTGGCTTCCGGTTAAAGAGCCCCGTCTCCGGGGGGGGGGGAGAGCAGTGGACCTATTTTAGCGGGGAAAACGGCCTTGGCCCGTGCAGGGAGTGGATGGGGATGGAGGGGCTCAGAGGAGCTGCTGCTCCGGGCAGGAATGCAGAGATATTGTAATTAAAACGCTCAGTAGAGGGAAGAATGTCACGCTCTACCATCACGGCAACGCTGCCCCTATAGTTTGTCATTCTGCGCGGCGTTTAGGTGGCGTTTTGAGCCACGGAGGACATAACTTTCCTCAAAATACAGTTTGTTGGTTGAAATATTAGATGCCATCATTTGAGGTGTGATGAGGTGTAGCAAGCGTGCAGACTTCCTCAGTTTACACATCTGAGTGAAAGGGTTGAGAAGCTCGCTGTTTTCTTGGATCAGCTAAAAATATCTTGTTTTGATACCATATCTGGGGCATTGGGACTTGTTGCCGATTCCCACAACGACTTGGAGTCTATGTTTGAAGATCTATTCCTCGGGGACAAGAAGCTTCCTAATGGTTATCAGTTCATCAGCAGACTTCTGTAATAAGTCGAAAACCTTGCCAAGCGGCACATTTGAGGTTGATGACTCATTGCGTTCGGCGTACACCTGCTCAGTGGGACGCTGGCGGTTGAGTTCGGTCGCCGGCCTGCAACAGAGATCACATCAGCAGGTTTTTTGAGTCCCACGCCAAAAAACAATTCATTAAAAACTAGACATCATGTTTTGACGTAATGCCATGCAACATGTTTGAATTCAATTTGATATGCTTTATTGGAATGAGCGTACCATAATGTCACAGGTGGAAGTAATACTGACACCATACAGAAAGGGAAAATTCATAAAATCAAGAAATAACAGAAAACATTTAACCCCTGCTCTGTGTGTTTGCATGTGAGAGACTGTGGACATTTGTTTTGATGTTATGTGTGTGTGTGTGTGTGTCAGCTCTCTCTCTCTCTCTCGCCCTCAAACCCACATGCACTTATGAGTTAAAAAAACAAGCACTTTGACATATTGCTGTGAGCAACGTTTCCATGACATCTATCATCACTTTCAATACCAAATTCTAAACTGACATTTAAGATGGAAATAACTTAGTACGTTTGAATAGGAAACAACAAACATTCTAGTTTGAGGGATAGCTAACTCATTTTAGTAAATCATCAGTCTACTGAATTTATGCATTGCATGTCTGCCTGCTGTATTTGCAGATTTCCCATCTGAGGCCTGGCATAATTCAGTGTGGCTGTAATGAGAGATGGAAGTGGAAGTAGTATTCTGTTTATTTCAACCATCTGTGACGAGCCTGAAAATTCACTTTAATAGTTTTCTCTCCGTTGCACAGGAAGGAGAAATGACGCGGCTGCGATATGATCTGTGTCAAGGAGGCCACAGGGAAGGAAGGAAAAGGTGGATTTCTTTTGCAAAGGAAAATGAAACATTTCCCTGATATTGCATCTCTACCTCTTTGAAAAAAGATTTTGTTATTTTAATTGATTTAATATTGCCACTGTGCTCGTGGAGCAAATATTTCATCATTTATTTTTCTTGGCTAATTTGTAAAATAAACAGTTTTGAAAGAGACACCAATAAAAAAAACATCACAGCCTTTTTGTAGTAAATATTGCTTTTAACTGTGGGATTTGATTTACTGAATGACGAAAATGTGAAATCACATTTTCTACAATGTCGGTAACCATTTACTAAGAATCTACGTTGATGTATTTTGAAATGAATAAGGGGAACAAATACTAGAGAGGAGTAAGGTCTTGCTTTCTGATATCCCATATGATACTCAATATTGAGTCAGACCATGGCAAGTCATGCCGTAACATAAAAAAGATGAGTGACCGCCCAAGCAGCTCTGCGTCTGTAAACTGCGGTGCATATAAATGGAAATAAAGGGAAAAGCAGTGTCATCACGCCGTCAGAGGAAGAACAAATCTAGTGAAGGAATGGCACAAAATGCTGTTTTGCTCAAGGCAAAGTTAGTTAAAGAGGACCGATGACAGCCAAAGGAGGGTGAATGCAGCAAGCAGGCAAAATACTTACACTGTATATTTTATACCTTTGCATCATATTTGAAAAATACCCTGCAGTTGGAGCAGATGGTGCATGTTTGTGAAACTGCAGCAGACACTATTGCTAGTTATCTTGCTTCTTATTCTAAAGCACAGTATCCTGTACCTGATGAAAGGATCTCTGTTGTCATGTGTTCTATGTGTGTGTTTCTTGTTTATTTTTTTGTTGTGTGGGTGCATAGCACGATGTAGCAGGAAAATATCAATCTTAGTCATATTTTTGTCAAAATGAATAATTACTTAGTTAATATTAGGTTAATAACGAGACGGCCCCCAGGCACATTATATCGCTTTTTCGTGTGAGTTCCTGTCCATGGTGCTGTCTGACTGAACACAACCAGAAGAAGGCGCTGTTGCTCCCTTTACAAAGCCTGGACAAAATCGTCACCTACTGTTACAGCTCACTGCCAGTTACAGCCATTTATCTGGGTCCTGAAAGATAGTATCTTCGTTGATGTATTTTTGGAACTGGAAAAAATATAAAGAGTTTGTAACCTAGAAACCCAAACATGTCCTGTAAGTGCCATGTGGAATCTGCCATGCAAATAGCATTTAGTTGACACCAAGATTGATGCAACGCTTCCACGATTATGCACGTATATCGAAGTTAAAGCATAAAACAGGACCATCCTACACGTTTAGGTAGGATGTGTCTATTAAGATTAAACATTAAACTAATGACTATACCTGTGTGTGATGAAGGGTTTTTCTGACAATATATCAGGTTTTTGTTCAATGATTCTTAGCGATTATTAACTAGACTTTTTTTTTCCACCCAGCAGCCTAGAACCACTCCATAAGCCTTTAGAAGACCGTGTCTGTGTGTCTGTGTGTGTGTGTGTGTGTGTGTGTGTGTGTGTGAGAGGGGGGGGGGCAGCAGCGAAGACACCACCCAGCTCTGTTGGGGAGGAGGGGAGGGTAGTGTGGAAGGGAGGGTGATGAGGAGGAGAGAAGGGGAGGGGGAGTGGGATGCTCGTTTCAGCACCGCGGACAGCTCCGGGTAAAAGCAGCCAGCAGCAGCGGGTCGGTCCTCTCCGCTGCTGTGGAAGAACAAAATAAAAAGAGATTCCTATTTCTACATTATTTTTTTTTAACACCTCTTGAAGACTGCAATACCTTTTCCTCGAGGAGTGGACTTCAATTTTAAGTCAGTCGGGATCCGGCGACATATTCGCAGGGACGGGCAACAGACCAAAACCATCACCGGACTCCCGGTCGTTTCGCGTATAATCTCCGCCAAGTTTTCCGCCACTGACCGGCGATCTTGCCCCCCTCCCGCTGGGCCGCGCCGTCCCGGAACAGCAGCCGTTTGCTGCGGGGGAAGTTGGGAGAGAAAGTGGGACCACATCAGCACCGTCTCCAGTTTGGACTGTGTGCTAAGTTGTTGGACTTTCCCCTCGTGCTTTTGCAGACGGATTTCTATTGTTAATGAAGTAGGAGTTTTATCACCCAACCCCCCGCTCCACACACACACACATGCGCACACATACCCACGCACGCACGCACACACACACACCCTGTATTGCTCTTACGTTTTGCCACTGATGCGAGGCTTTGATGCGCCCGGATACGGCTCCTCTCTGTGGCAGCACTGATTCTCTCCTCCTCCCTCTCATCCGCCTCAGCCTTCTTTTAATTCAGCGCTCGCTGAAGGGGGGGGGGCGCCCCGGACTGCCATCTTCCCCCCGTTCCCGACAACTGCAGAAGACTGGTAGGTGATAATGGCCATGGATCGATGAAGAATGCATATGCAGATTGCTGAGGGGTGAACTTGGAAGGCCCGAATCGACACAAAATAACCGAGGACGCAGCTGAGGAACTTTTATATCCTGATCCATCGTTTATATTGTTTTCTTATTATCTTTAATAGGAGTATAGGCTGCTTTTGTTTTTTAGCTATTCATGACGGAAACGATGGCGCTGAGTGGGAACTGTAGGACTAACATCAAAGAGCCAGCATCGGTTCAGAACAGTTTCCCAGATGTTGTTGAATTGAACGTGGGGGGGCAGGTTTATTACACGCGTCACTCCACTTTGGTGGGCACCCCGAATTCGTTACTCGGCAAGCTATTCTCTTCCAGAAAAGAAGCATCGAACGACCTGGCGAGAGACCCAAAGGGCCGCTACTTCATCGACCGAGACGGCTTTTTATTCCGCTATGTGTTGGACTACCTCCGGGACAGGCAGGTGGTCCTCCCGGACCACTTCCCGGAGAAAGGGCGGCTCAGGAAGGAGGCGGAGTACTTCCAGCTGCCCGACTTGGTGAAGCTCCTGACCCCCGACGACGCCAAGAGCAGCCCGGACGACTACTTCCACAGCGACTGCGAAGACGGGTCCCAGGGCAGCGACGGCCGGCAGTGTCCGCCCTCCTCTCTCGTCCCCGCGGACAGAAAGAGCGGCTTCATCACGGTGGGTTACCGGGGCTCGTGCACCACGGGTCGAGAGACTCAGACCGACGCCAAGTTCCGCAGGGTGCCTCGGATACTGATATGCGGTCGGGTGGCTCTCGCCCAAGAAGTTTTCGGGGAGACCCTGAACGAGAGCCGGGATCCGGACAGGACCCCGGACCGGTACACCTCGCGGTTTTACCTCAAGTTCAAGCACCTGGAGAGGTCTTTTGACATGCTGTCGGAGTGCGGTTTCCAAATGGTGGCCTGCAACTCGTCGGTCACGGCCTCGTTCGTCAGCCAGCACACCGAGGACAAGATCTGGTCCAGCTACACAGAATACGTCTTCTACCGTGAGTGGCACCTTCGCTTCTTCTGGCAGCAGGTCATCCGTCACGTGGACGCGCCCAAAGTTGGGAGTCGCCACAAGGGGGCGCGCTTGCTTTGCTGGTCCCGCTTGTGTGTGTGTGTGTGTGTGAGAGAGAGAGACATTTTGTTAGAGGAGTGAATGGCTCGGTTCTCGCACAGGACATCCCCCCCCCCCCCCACACACACACACCTCCCTCCCTCCCACCCTGTTTTGAATCATGTGGGTGTAGTGAATGCTTTGGTGTGGTGACTTCTGGAGACGATGGGATCAAAGCTGCTTCAACCTCATCGTTTCACCAATGGTTCCTGAAATTGTGTCACTTTTTTAATTTTTGTATAAGTAACAATAATCTACATTTCCATGCACACACGGTCAAGTTGGCACGCTCCTTAAGCGGAATAAGTTTGGCCAAATCCAATTAGAGCTCACTCCTGGTAATGGGGGGTCGAGCCATCGCAACCGTATCAGCAAACATATGAAGGACTATTTCATGTTCTAAAATCTGTTACAGCGTGTTGCAGCATTCTGTGCTCTCTTGCAGGCTAGTTTATATTTCATGAAATTTAACTAGATTTTTTCATGATTTCACCCCCATCTGGGACATGGCAATAGTCAGAGCAACGATTTGTCAAACGCTTGCCTTTTCTCATCTTGGTGCAATTTTCTACTCCACCTCCTGTCTGCTTTCATCCATTCCGTCCTTTCAACTTCTTGATTTTCCTTCTGGCTTTTCTGATTGGTTAAGTTTGTCCATCTTTGCGTGAGGAAGAAATCGTGACTTTTAAATTAGCTTCCGTTAGATTTTATGATGCAAAAAAACGTCCATAGTTTCAGATATATTCAATCACAAACTTGATTGCCTCTATAACGTAGACATTGTGACTCTGAAACTTTGACGGTATGGGACAAAACTTTCTTTGGAATAACTCCTGAATCTCTACCAAAGGACTTTTTTTTAGATGCCATTAATTATTAAGAAAATACTTTATTTTCCTTCCATACCCCTTAAGTAACAAATCCTTTTGATGATCATTGTGGAACTTACATAACTATATAAAAGTACTGTAATACTCTAAACCCCCTATACTTTCCAAGATAGTTGCAGCTCTTTGTTTCTTTTGGCCCACACTGAGATATCTGTTCATTCGTGTTGTGTGATGTTTTTATGTTCAAATTCCCAAACATTAAAAGGAATCTTGTTAAATAACTTGCTGTAAAGAGAAAACAGAGAAGGTTGCCAACAGAGCAGAGATCAACGCGTTGAGGCAAATATCATCATGTTCATTAATACCTTTCTTCTCACAAAATTACACTGGATAAATTTTTTTTAAAAAGTAAAATTTTTCTTTGATGATTTCAATTTGCATAAGAAAATGTGACAGGTACTTATCTCTGGTAACACCTGTTTTACCGAACTAGGTTTGGGTTCCATTCTCAATTGAAAACCGCATGTAAAAACTAAAGGTTACTTTGTGGTTTGTATTTTTTTGGCATTGACGGGGTGAACACTTCGGATTCATAAAAATCCCTCTGCAATTTTGGTTCAAGGAGAAGAACATGTAACCCCTTTTTTGTTTCTACATCTGACTTTGCTGCATGACTTCAGTGCCCAACCGTCCAGGTGCAAATAAAATCATTTTTGCCGCAAACATCCTCCAAAGGAAAAACAGGTCATGATGTCGTAATGTTGGAAATTCTTCACATCTCCAGAATAATACTTGCTATTCATCCTTTTCCCAATTCTCTTTGTAATGACTTGTGTAATGCATCAGTTCCCTGATGTTACTGTGAAAAGGATTGGTCATAAATTAGATGAGCGCTAAAAATCCAGATGGTCCCTGGGGGCGGTTACTGTCTGGACCCAATCAAGTGTTGGTGGGGGCTCCTGACACACACACACAGACACTAAACGTACAGACACACACACGTTTGCAGATTCAATACCTAGCAGTGTGTCTGCGGGCCGCCCTTGCAGGCCTCTCCTTGCTTACCGGCAAACAACAACCGCTCCCTGGCTTTGTTGACAAGTGTTCGGCTTGTTAGAGGGCGCACGCTCAAAGGCGAGGGCACGGTGCCAGATGTGCTGGTCCCCGAACGCGAGAACAGAGTCAAAGGCATCCGGCATAATCACGGCGGCACACAAACGTGAACACAGGTTCACCGTGCACGGATTGGAGTCACCGACGGCCTCTGGTTTCTCCGCCCGTCGGCTCGTCTCCCCCATCTTCCCCGGTCCTCCCTCTTTTTTTCCCCCCCGCCTCCCTCGTCTCCCCTCTCTCTGCCGCTCCTCCTTTCATGTCTCCTCATTTTGCTCTAGTCAATCATACCAGGCTTTCCTTTCTCGTCTCGGTTCCCGCCCTCTGTCTCTGCGGCTTTATTTGGCGCGGGGGGCAAGGAGCAGCGCGGCGGCACCAGTTGCCTTTATATGCCTCGCCGCTCCGTCACGCCTGCTACACCTCGCCTGCTACACCTCGCCTGCTACACCTCGCCTCTCATTCGTATCTCTGCCTGTCCATCGCCATGATTGTTTGTTTACCATCATCTACCTCCGTTCTCATTCTACATTTTAGTCTTTTGTCTCTGTCTTTGTTTTGCCGTTCTATAGACCAGATTCAACATCCGGAGGCTGTGGGAATATTTAAGACAACATTGAGCTTTTAGGCGAGATCTGTCTTACTGCACAAAGAGGGGGCCATGAATATATATTTTTTCCCATCTCGCCTTGACGTTAACCTCACTCAACTCACACTTATTTTATGATTAATTAGAAGTACAGCTGCAAGCTGTTCCCCATCCCAACATCGTCGGCCAAACTAACTAATGCTTTTGTGGCTGAAAGGGAACTAAAGCCCGCGGCCAGACCCCAATTTATTGCTGAAAACCTTCCCGAAAAAGTTGAGGTTGTTTGGTGTTAATGGCCATTATTTTGTAAAGAGATGTGCAAAAATCTGTTCAGATACTTTTGACACATTCAATGTGAAAAGTGGACACCATCATCCACGAGAGGCTGTCAGCAACATTAGTGGCTCCCAGTCATCTGCCATCCAATGCTTTTCTTAAGTGGCCACCTGAACAGTTTGTAAGTTAATATGAACACAACCTTCCTGGAATCTTTTTTTTTCTTCTTTTAAGTATCTTATTATTATATATGCCTTTATGTGACCTCTAACTGGTAACCGCTAAATGGTGCCACACATGTTTATGGTAAACTACATGTTGTCCTTTTACTTTCTGCCCGTCATCGAATTCCTTGGATCATTCACTCCTCTGATTAAAACCATCAATCTTTTTTTTGGGGGGTATTCAAATTCAAGATGGCCTCAGAAGGACCCAGAAGAAGAAATATATTAGCTAGAGTGACAGATAATGAATCATCAGTGTTGACAGTTGGTTCTGTGGCATTCACCGCAGGGCCCGACAGAGCCCACTGCAACAGAATCATGGAGCAACACGTCATCCGCGTGACTAAAACAGAAAATGTTTATTTTCCTAATCTGCTGAAAGGATGAGAAAATCAAATTGTTTCACTCAGCCCACCGCGACAGAGTGAAGTGTGTGCCATTACCAATCGCCAATTTCTTCTGACCATGTGTGCTGGTGTGTGACAATCTTTGCCATTAGCTTGTTACACGCAGATGGGTAACTCCTTGTGTAGCAAATGTGTTTTGGCAGGTGGGAAGGTGTGTGTGTGTGTGTGTGTGTGTGCTTGTGTTTCAATGCGTCACCCATGTTGCACTACCTGAGGCATTTGCACACCCATTGAGCTTATGGCTAAACACACTAGCACACCAACCGACCCCTCTCACACACACACACACACACACACACACACACACACACACACACACACACACACACACACACACACACACATACACGCATACTCATCCCCACATGAAACTACACCACACTCACATCCTGTGCGCTGCTTTCGGGGCCCCGTGGCTGACGACATTAGCAGCGGCGGTCTCGTGCTTCAGGCCTGTAGGAAGTGATTAGCTGAGGAGCAGACAGGCCATGACAGCTATGAGGAGAGTCTTGATGGGGACAGCTGCTACCCTGGCCCCGGCTCCACGGGGGAGACCACCGCCGCACACCTACACTCTGCATTATTCAGGCTGAGACAAAAGGGAAGGAGACGGGCATCCCGTGGACAACGCTGTTTTCCAACACTGAAAAATGTCATTCGGCTCACTGCCGCTTCTGTTACTTTGGCTACTGGTGATTCTTCTTTGACTGCCGCTACTATTACCGTTCTATTAGGACCCTAATTGCATTACTATAGTTTAGCTTTGTTAACCCCAGTGCTTCTATATGTAATACTGTTGTACCTCTAGATTGCTAAGAGTTCTGCTAACGAAGGTTCTGCATACCGATGCCCCCCTTCATCTGATCATAAATACACGCCTGTAAAGTTGTGTCACTGCATCTTGCACAGTCGCCGTGCTATTGTGGTCGCAGTATCTGTCCATAGTCACCATAGCGACTAATCATTGTTCACAGTGCAGGAACGGCTCACAAAAATCTACATTAGCAAATTTAGCCTTTAATGTTTGTGCCGATTGCGTTTTGTTGTTTTGATGTTTTCGTAAGTAATCAAGCAATAGTCTCTTTTTCCACCTTTTATTTTCATTATGTTGCCGTGTTTCATATTGACGTGCTTTTTGGAAGAATAAGATAAAACCTCTTTTGGTCCAGTGAGAAACGGGGCCGCTGCGTTTTGTTCAAGCTGCAGGCGAGGAAGAGACTTTCCCCTGAGTCAGAAATAAAGACGGTGGTGTAGAAAAAGAACAGGTGAACCTATCGCCTACCAAACAAAACATAAAATATGTCTTCACTCTGGGAATGTTCTTCAAATTGAACAAACTGAACTGAATACGGTAACAGCGTTGACTGACGAGTGATTAAATATTAAATATATCTTTTGAGGGAAACAAAACTAGATTGAAACAATATATTTGTTGACATGGATAATGCTGCTTT